TTTGTGCCAAATTGGGTCATCCAACAAGACCTTCAAGTACCCTCAATACAAGAAGAAATCAAGAAAGTCAGTATAAAATATCGTAGTAGACTCGGAAAGCACCCCAACGCGCTCGTTGCCAACCTGCTCAGAAGCAACACCACAAGACGCCTCAAACGATACGATCCGTTGGAATTACCGGTTAGATTCCAATAGAATGCAATCCTCCATGCTCCAGGACAATGTAGGGATACCTACCGAAAACTTAGAAAGTGTTGCTGATGGGCAACATCTTGTGCATGTCAATTAGTGTAATATATAGCTTAACTGTTATTATTATTTACCATAATATTTACTCATTATCGTTAGATAGATTGTAAATTATAGAGGAGCTCACAAAAAAAAAAAAGTGTCGCCTTTAATTTGTGATTTTTTTATAAAATATAAAATTATTGATATCTATAACGTTATTTGCTTACGGAGTCAGTTGCGCAACCAGTCTAATAACATTTCAGTTACCGGAGGCTTGTTTTAACGGTGTTAAATGTTAAAACTCGCCTAACCGTTAACTGTTTGGGGGCCGTTCGATCTGTCAAATCAAATGTCAGAATATTTTAAGAACATAACACATTAGTCAATAAATAGAAGGGATCATAAACTTTTAATAAAGTTGCCGCTATCACTTGAATTTTCATTTGTTTGTTAAATCGAGAACCGCGGTTTATATCAGCAAGAAATGGATTTAAATTTTTCCGCCTTTCAAGAGCCCCGTGGGGTAATGAGAGTTTTACAGTTTGTAAGTATTCAATGTTTAGCCTTATTATTTTATATAATTGCTGATGATCGCATAGGTATGTGTATAACTTCCTCACCTTAATATGTAGGGTCATTCTTAATTGCACTACTTATCGACAAGTCATTCAGAAATATGTTCACATAATTAGTATAGGTATGTTGCTTGCTATTTATATGTATCCTTGTCCTGAGTGTTTTCGAAAATATAATAAATGTATCATTTATTTATTTCATACATTATCTTACGAAGCAACATATTCAGGACGTATCTAATATTATTAGAATGATGTTAAAACATTTGTGAAAGGCCATAACAAGCATTCAACCCACTCCGATGACATGTGTTGTGCTAAAATACCTGTAATATAATATGCCCAAAAAATATATTTTAGTAATTTACCCATCAGGCACGTTTGCAAAATATTCACAAATAACAGATAGATCACAGCTGATGTAGTTCGTTTATACTGTGTAACAGGTGCGTTATTCTGAAACCACCCTGCAATTTCATTTTTAACATAATAGTTTATAAGAGCAATTTAGGCGAGAATATAAAAATTATTTTTACTCAAAAATTGACTGTACATTGGTGAAGTTTCTTTTTGCTCGTTGGATTTTAAATTAAAAATTCATTAGCAGAAGTCATTGCCTACCTTTTGGAAAATTCCCGTTCAGATAAGGGAAAACCTGTTATCAAAAAAATACGTATGCAAGCTCCTCAAAAACATATGATGATTTCACTTAAGTGTTTTAGGTTTAACATAAGTGCCATATCATATGGTCTACATTATTATTTTTTTACATGTTAAAAAACGCTTAACTTTATGGTCAAAGAAGTTGGAATGTATGTATACATTACTGAATTGATGGGAAACTGGGAATAATGGAGGTCTTTGCATATTGGCTTTACGTGATTTTTAAATAAAAACACTCTTGAACTGAGTTTTGGAAAAACCATATTATATTTTCTAGAGCTAAAAAAAAAGTTAAAAGTTGTTACAAGAATATATGTTGTACATGTATTTGATATTCATGTGAACATCAAGAGGAAATTAGGAGAAATTGAAATTTGAAATTATGTTTCAAATTTCAATCAATGAAATGCGTAGTTTAATTTTAGGGTAGCACTGATTTAAATCACGACTAAAATTACCTTATTTTTTAAAATAAGAATCATGATTTAATAGTAGCAATTTTTTTCAATTATTTTTCAATTTGGAACAAGATAAATACCAAAATGAGAATGCAACGGTTTTAAGAAATACAAGAAAAAACTTTACGGTTGCTTTTATGCATTTTCGTTTTCGCATAGTTTGCACATAAATACAAATTTCTCTCCTTTTTACATACCCATTCGGTCCCTAATACTCTGGTGTATGAAGCGAAAAGAGTTCGTTTAACAGAAATGTTTGAAATTAAAATATTACTAATGAGTTTTTGAAATTAAACTAAATAACCAACACAACAAGTCTAGAGAGGGAATATTTTGAAAAATTGCCAAAAAAATTAAAACAACATTTTTTATTCAACATTATCTATATCTCAAATTAAACTGTAAATTTCCAGGTTTTAGAAATATTAAGTGCTGCAGGAATAATCAAATTAAATGTCCAGATCATGCACTATATATAATTGACTTAAACAACTGATCTCTAAATTCAACTTAATATTATATTATGAAATAAAAAAAGTTACAAAATTAGAATGTGTAATATTAATTCTGTTTTTATGCACGTTGATAGAACGCACATTAACGAGTAAATCATGTAAAATTTTGCATTATTTTTCTGTTTCTAATAGAACGTATAAATGAACCCTTTTTATTTTCAGATATTTTCCATTTGTGCATTTGCGACCATTTGTGGATATGACGGCTATATCAAATTTGCATGTGATAAAGACGCGAAAATCGACATATCATATCCATTTATTCTTATAGACACTGCAAAACTAAATGTAGCGAACGAAAATTGTACAGCAACAGTAGGCAATGATTTTGCTTCAGATGCCAGATTCTTTGTGGCAACTGGAGTTTTGTCCATGCTGTTTTCTTTGGGGATAATTTTTCTTTATGCGAAAATGGACGAAGCGTATAAAACCAATAAAAAATTACCGTTATATGTAAGTACCTTTTATCCATAAATTTATGGCAAACTTTATTATTTATATTTCATACATTAATACAAGTAATTGGCTCAATTTTAGGATTTTCTTATTACTGTGTTTTTGGCTGTTTTATGGCTCTCAAGCAGCGCTGCATGGGCACATAGCTTATCTAGTTTAAAGTCTATTGCTGCTCAGCCAATATTTAACTCGTCCAGTTGCTGTCCTGGTGGAGCGATAACTAGTAATTTTTCGTCACTTAATATTTCTGTGGTAAGTGAAACATATATTTTCATATACATGTATCGATGTAAATATGTTTTTGTTTCAGATTTTTGGATTTTTAAACTTTTTCTTGTGGGCTGCGGACTTATGGTTTCTTTATAAAGAGACTGAATGGTTTCAAGGAAACGCACCGCCAACAACTAGTGGAGTGTAAATAACATCAGCCAAAGGAAAAACTTAACTGGCAAATTATCTGTGACGTATATTAGTTATACCGACTGTTTTGATGTAGTTATCGTTTTCAGTCAAAATATCTTAACATTACTTTGCTTCAAATTCTTCAATTATTATAGTTATATTAACCCCAAAGAATCACAGATTTTAGCGTCGTTACTATGTACAATATGAGGGTGCAGTAGCGATTAAATAATTAAATTGAAAGTAAAAAATTATATTATATCATCAAATAGAAGTATCAAGTACAACTGAACGTGAGTTATGCACATTACGTTTGTTGGTTAAAAGAAGTGTTAATTTGCTATTTTGGTTGAGTGTGTTTCGGTTGTCGTACAAAACCTTTCGAAGGGAGATTTTCTAGGAATGTTCAATGTGAGTTATCATAAAAATAAGTTTCCTTCAATAGTGTGGCATAGATCTAAATATTTAGTTAACGCAAGATTTAACTAATTTGTGTAACAAATTGGAATAGAGATATTCTAAAATAGTTTTAATCTAGCTATTAGGTGACGTGTAGAAAGTACAAGTAAATATGTATGTAGGGGCTTTATGTTTTATTCCATTTTTGTACGTATAATTTGTATATTTACTCTTACGTTTGTGTTGATGCTATACATAACGCTCCTGCCCATATTCAATAATCAAGTATTACTATGGCTCAAAAACCACAATACCATTACTATATCTAGGTTGAAAAAGCATTTTTGTCCCACTCATACCAAATAATATATTTTTATACCTTAACTTATTTAATGTGTCATATTGGAGTATTTTTTATTTCGAATAAAGATTTTTTGTTCAACTGCTTGTTCATTATTCTCTCACCCCCATAGGTCTTTTATTAGATATGTTTTGTTGCATATCAAACCATAGTCTATCTAATCTCAACAAAACCTTGACCTACACTTGAAGAAATTTTGACAAAAAGTGAATGAAAAATAAATAATACGATAACGCACCGCCGGACATTGTGACGTCACAAATTCTTGTGCCTGGATTGTTTGAGTCGATCACTAATCGTCACATCTGCCAAAATATGAAAATAATATTGTTGTTGTCACTCATACGATAGACGCTGCCAGACTTCCGATTTTACCTCCGTTGGTGATTACTTCTATCTATGTTCTCAAGTTGGTGAAGATTTTTATCACAGACTATATTTGATGTAAATTTGGATTTTCAAAGCAAATCACGCTTAATTAAAGCAGAGTGGATTATTTATTTTATCAAACTGTTGAACCTGTTTTTGTTGAAAATTTATAAATTCCTGCTTCTTATAATTAAACGTGGCCAGTTTCAACTGCGCTTAACTCCTCAACTTGCTGTAATTATCAAGAATTCTGTTAAAATTCGCATAGCAACATGATTCAGGTGTATTTTTGCATTCAAACTGGCAATACCGTCAGATTAAAAAGAAAATAATTTTGTAGGTTATATTTTGAATTTTGTATACTTTAGTTTTCCAACTTTGTGATGTAATGTCGTGAAAAACTAAATATTTGTTTAGTTTTGTTGGTTTTTCTTTCACTTAAAAGCGTAGCAGTATATAGATTTCCAGTGTTTGTATAGTGTGTCAACACTCATTTCATAAGTGTTCTCTTCTAGCCCATGTCAAAACGATGATAAATCTGTGCAATTCAATTTAATATTTATGTTTAGCATTTGGTGCACTAGTTGGTAGCTCTTATGCTTTCCGGGCACATCATAATTTCTTATCTGCGTGCATATCATTAATTTTTTTCTCCATCTGGTTTTGTTTATTTTTATATTATGAATTACAATGGATGTTGATGCTCAAAGTCAGTATTCAGATGAAGGAATTGAGCTACCACCTTCAGGTAAGTACAACAGTATAATTTTAAATACTTTTTCTACAATTCCCAACACTCCAGTTGTCTTTTATCGTTTAGAACCAGGTTTCCAATTTCCAAATGAACTTACGTTTGGGGAAGACTTAGCCCCAGACTCTCTGGAGGCTAAAATTGTATATTTGCTTTTACCCAAAAATGTCCCAATATCTCGAGCCACCCGACTGCAATGGCTCCTTGATCACTTGAATACTACCATAAGTATTTCTAATACAAAATTGGTGAGTCAATTTTTTTTTAATTTAAATTAGGCGAAACATCCAAAACATATATAATGTTTGCTTAGTGAAGTTAAATTACATTTGAAATCAAGTATTTTTTTCAGTTGGAAACGTCTCAAAACATAGAAGTAATATCAGCCATACCCAGAGAACATACTGTAAATCCAAAATGCATACAGTTTTTAATAACATATCGGACAGAAGTCAGGTTTCTTGCCTATGCCTATCGTTTTGTGTATTGCTTAGATATGAGTCCCAGCCATGTGAATGTTGATATTCATGCTAAACAAGTGTTGTTTGACCAAATTTTGCAAAGTTTTAAGACCAGCATTGAAGCTTTGTCAAAACAGGTCAGTTTTATATTTCAGTCATAACAGTTCAGCCTAAAACAAAAACATGAAAAACTAATATGTACTTCCATTATATTATACATTTAAATTGTTAGTACATACCTATAACCGTTTTTTATTTTTACCAAGTGATTCTCTTTACTAGATTGCAATCAGACGCGTAATAAGTTGGTTTTATTTGCAGTTCCTAATCCCGGGCAACTCTATAGTTTTCCAACCATGTATTTATTTAACAATAATGGCAAACACACCATTTTTTATAACCCCTGCCCAACAAGTAATTTTGAAAGGCATCCAGATGACACCACATAATGTGTATGAAATTATTAAGTGTGTAGAAACCCATTTTCATATTCTTCAAGGAAAAATTGCCGAAGCTTGCATGCAAGCATTAGAGAAAATAGAGAATCACAGAGTAAGTTTAGCGATATTTAAAAACATTACTTATTTTAATAATTATGCTTTCAGGCATCTCATGATGCACAAAGTTCATTGGGGGGTGAAGCATTCGAAATTTCTGATATAGGTCGGTTGTCCAAGATACCCATGGTAACCCCAGATGTAAACTTTGTAAATATGTTGAGGTATTCAATGTTGGCTATATATCTCTTGCCAGAAAACACGTTAAGCCGTAAGTGTTTTTTTGTTCGACTTGGTAATCCTAATTTTAGAATTTATTTATTTACACATCTTTTTCAAATTTATTTGTAGTTCAGTAGGTTTTTGTTTGGATGGATTCTAAGACTGAAGTTCCAATTGCATTACGATTGTGCATTTAAATTATCCGAATTTACGAGACCAGATTATGTAAAAATTTTAAAATTAAGTATTGTATTATGATCAACAATGAATTGAAAGAGCGCCACTGGATTGCTTTCATTTACTGGCCGTTAGAAATCCGAAACGTAATATAAAAACTTTCTGGGTTATAAAACATGAAATATGTTAATGTGATTTGGAACTTCTCGTTTTTTGGCGCTTGTCCACAGTATGACAAACTGGCTTGTTCCAATTAGCGCCCACACAACCTTGTGTGTGCTGCATTAATCTTTCATTTTTATGACGTTTTCTAATGCTTCTAAAAAACAAAATAGAAATGCTGACCTCTACTTTTAGCCCGATATTTATTCATCATATAATTTTTGTAGTATTAAAAACATTTTACTAAAAATATGTATTATGAAGACTTAAGCAAACATACAATACATTTATTCCTTTTATTGGCATAATTTGCGCTTTTGGTCTGGATATGGGGGCGTCCGGAACTAACGTCAACATATTTTGCGCTGTTGACTTGAGACTAACATAATAAGGCTTAGTTTATTAAGTTCATATAAAAATTACCTTAAAATTGCGTGTTCGGCAAAAAATGTTGTAAAAATCATGGAAAAAAGACAATTTTATGTAGGAAAGCCCTCGAGGCCTTAATGCGGCTGTCTAAAATTTTCATTTAATTACAAAATATCTTTTTGCATTCCCATTTAAATTATTATACTTAAAAATTAAATAAAGAATACCGAAATTCCGTTTTTTTGTGCAAATCTTATAGAAATTATTGCATATACGTCATGTTAATAGCGCCAATCAGCCCCATCGAATTTGTGCCACCATTTTTTGCGCATTTTTCAAGCGATTTTGTGTTATTTTCAACTCTAAAATCATCTTCCAACATATTTATTCACTATTTTCTGGTACCCTGCATATATCTAAAGTCGATATAAATTTTTAATTTTTAATACTGCAATACTTTCAAAATTCAAAATCGCCAAGCGTTTTAATTTAATTATAAAATACTTCCTTCTTATCACTTAAATAGACAATACTGTATTTATAATAGTTGCACTTTTTACTGTGTATGATTTCTACTGTGGTTTCATGTCGCATTGAAAACGCCTTGTAACTAAAAATATCCATTAGCAACTATTAAGTTGTGTCAATCTGAATACTAATTAAATTAATAATTTATACGGACGGTACTCGCATATTTTTGTTTTGCGACATCACTAATTGGCCATTTATTACGCGAACATCGAAAGAATCAAATCATTTTATATATAAACGAGGAATTAGAATGTTGAAATAAGTGTAATTAATTTGTTTACCGATTTGTTATCAGGCCGCTAATTACAGTTGTTTATCTGGCTGGAGTACAATATACTTTAGTCGATAAACTAATAACTAATATTAAAACGGGAGTACCATAACAGATAAATCATTCAGTGCGCTATTAATATTTCAATGAAAGGGAGTGTATACGAGTTTTTCCAAGCAAACCGTTTACCTTCCATGCAAAAGCGCCACATCTGATTTCTGTGAATAGTAATTGTTTACACATACAATTCAATCGTTTAGACTATAGAAGTTGATTCTATACAGCCGTTGTCTTGGAACGTATTTTCATATTTTCATTAGTGTCTAATCTATAAATAATTATCCACATTTTTATTGCTACTGGTTGCCAAGGCTGAATAAATTATAGGATTAAAAGTACGAGTTATTCATGTGTTAAGTACATTAAATCAAGTAATAAATAGTTCTTTTGTAAAATTAACATAAACAATTTTTATATTTTTATCAGATATTAGATCTATTTGTATTTATCAACTCGAATACCATAAGTAAAATGTCGACCTAACGATTTGTTAAATGTTAACTAAACTGAATGTACGGGTTTTTATACGGCTTAAGCGGACAAATAATACTTGGAATCAGGAAAAATTCACGGCTTTCCGTAAGCGTCATTTTATTTATACTACGGACGCTAACTATTTATTTATACTACGGACGGAACATCTTCATTTAAAAGTTAAATACAATTTCCATTATCACGAATTTTCATATTGGATACACAGAATCAGCTTTTGGTCCAATTTTGTATATTTTTTAGATATTCTAGTCATAACAGATGGGATAGTTTCAATGCCCGATTCCAATGTAATGGAGACAATGCTGCATCAATTGCATTACGATGCTATCGGGGTCTCATTTCTTAAAGTGGGATCCAGCTTCCACCCCAACTGCGGCGTGGGCTTAGTTTCTTATATAGATTTATTATATTTTTTTGCTCAATCAACTCTCGGTACCTGTATAGAATATTTTCCAAAAATAGTAAGTTTGATTTTTTGCTTCCATATTTTCGCATATTTTACGGATTATATTTCAGATCCATGATCCAGCAATGCCAATGAATTATTATCAAGAAATTCTTTTACTATGGTCTTTTCATAATAGTAATTGTCGAGTGTCCTCGAAACCCTGTGATAATGTAACCTCTTGGACATCAATGTAAGGAAAACTAAAGAGATTTTGTCATATACGGTTAAAAAAATATTTTGAAATGTAATTTCAGAAATGATCGATTTTATATTCAAAGACTGCCAACACTTTTGTCCAAGAGACAGACTGAAGATAGTACAAGTACCTCTGTGCTGCTTTTGTTAGCAAGACGTATGCGCGAAGGATTTACTGTCGATGTATGTATTTAATTGTTGCGTAAAGTGGGTATTTATTTATTGCGTTAAACAATTGTTTCAGAATATATTTTATGGAAACGGTAATCTAGAAATCAAATTAATTCACCAATGGAAGTCTTCAATTTTTATTCATTATAAGCTAATGTCTCAGTGGCCACCCACCCAAAATCTAACGCATTTCGAAGTGTACATCTACGGTAAGGAGTTATAGATCTCTTACTAATCAATATTTAAATAAACCACTGTTTTGTATACTTTAGCTCCGTACGAGTTTTTACATGACATGACTTGCTTGATAAAGAAAGAAACCAAATCTGTCTTCCGACAAGCCATTATCCAACGATTTTGGAGTAGGTTGTCACAAGTGTCTTCTGGCGATGTGATTTTAGCCACGCAATTAAGCAATTTTACGAGCAATAAAGATTGGTGTACTTTGCCCGATAGTGTGAAGAGTGGCCTTCCCGTTTTTACGTCAAACACGCCGTTTTCAGATTCTGCCAAACTTACACTTACGCCTAGGTATGCTAAAATAAATATTTAAAACTTATTCTTTAAAAGTGGTGCATTTTTATATTTTGTAGAGATAATTATTGTTTAAAATTTGTGAACATTTGGCATGGAATAACGCAGTTAGAGACAAGTCACTGGAGAAAATGGTTTCACACTCACAAAATATCGCTGATTTTAACACACGATACACCTTTGCCTACGAAATTGCATATGACGAGCTGTTCTTCTCAGCGATATCAGGTATAAATCAGTTAAAGTGAGTCTATATTTTAACTGATCCGTTTGTTTGAAGGTTGTCCAATGCAGACAAGCAGTAGTCGCATTACATGGAATGCTAGCGGATTGGTCGTCTTTTGTACTTATAGACAATCATACTTACTTAAAATTTTTATGTACAGAGCCCGATAAACCACCTACAGGATTTTGTATAATTCGCGTCAGCTCAAAGTTTCCTAGTGCTGTTTTGAATCTTGGCTTCTCCACAAATACGCCGGGCCAATATAGACATGAAGTACTATTCCTGTAGATTGTTAAACTTTAACGAAAACGGGTTTGTTTTTCAGGTTTGTGACGAGCTGAAAAGTGAGCTGTCGACTCTTTCTTACCTACCCAAAGCGAACGAACCATCATGTTGCGTTCTTCTTAACAAGCCGCTAGAAAAAATCCTTATTCGGTATGAACGAGTTCCAAATACCTACACCACTGTCGTATTTCCAGATGGTACTCAGCCTCCAGATAGTTCTAGCTGTTTTTCATCACCTGTTTCTGGATCTCTTTTCACCACGTTATCTCGATATTTATTTCATAAAAGGTGGATCTGGAGTGCTAGTCATAATACAAATCCACGGTTGTCTGATACATCTATATCAAGAATTTTGAACACTTTGACCAGGTGAAGTTTCTTTCTGCCTGATTTTATCATAACGATTAGTGAGACCCCGTTTGACTTTTCAGAATACGATTGAAAGAAGGCTATCACTTTGCCTATTCCTCGTCCGGGATAGTTACTATGGTTCTTGAAGTTTGGCTGAATTCAAACGCAAGTTGTGTCGTTCAGTACGTTTTGTTTCCTCCTTATTACAACTGGGGAGATGATATATTGAGTGGATCAGATGAGGATATGGAGCCTGCATCTGAAATGGAAGCAGAGCTCCAAATGATCACGGAAGTATGGATAGAACCTCAATATGGAAACGTTCTACCTAGCAACTCCAGAATTAGCTACTTTAATAACAAGAACTATTATGAAATAGCTGACGCAGTAAGTATTGAAACTTTAGGATTCGGTAAAGATAACCGACATTTGCCTTATAACTGTTATTGTTATCTAGAGAAAAAAACTTATGACGAATTTGTCTATTCATTATCATTCAATTTATATTATGAAATTGTTTATAAGGGTGTCCCACCGGGAACCGCCGCGGTCGATATCTGACAAGCCATAATTAGGAGAAATTTGAAAATTGGACAGTGTGTCAAAAATTATCAATAATGGGGGTTTCCATTTGAAAAACTTGTTTTTCCACAGTTTTCTCAACGTCATTTTGAAACTAATTTTTTCAACACTTTGTATTAACAGTTATTAAAATTTTGTCGAAATGCCATTAAATTAAGGCCTTTTTAACAAGAAATGCTACCCAAATTAAGTAACACATATGCTCTTATAGGAGAAATAAATAATTATTCAAGTGGCTGCATCTGTCATTTTTTAGATAGAATTTCAAATATATGGAAAACGGTTATACTTAGGTATAGGATATTATACATGAAATATATTTAAAATTTGGAGTAGAATTCAAAAATTTAATAATATTGTACCGTGGATAGCCGGGTATCAAACTCTTTCTTCAGCTTCCAACTTTTGTTCAACTCGGTATAACTTTAAATGCGGAACAGGAACTAACTTCAAAATTACCGTCAACTTCACAAAAAATAACAATAACAGACGGAAAACTCGCTCTTCCGACTCGCGGGGTTTAACCTCTTAACCACATCTCTAGCCCAGGTGCGAAATATTCCCGCTTGTCAGTGTCATATTTGACAGTAAATGGGACGCAAAGGGGGCTCCCATTTACTGAAATACCATGAATTTCGATTCGCACCATTCCAAACGTGAGTACCCCAGGCCATTTCCGTTACAATATATAGGGTGTTCCATTTAAAATAAGCAAATTGAAACCAACTTCCGGTATAACCGGAAGTGTGACCATCTTGAACATATTTTAGATCGCTTGCCCCCAATGACTTCGGCACACTATCAAATTTTCAAATTTCTCTTAATTATAGTTTGTCAAATATCGACCGGGGCGATTCCCGGTGGGACGTCCTGTGTACTAAGCGGTTATTTTTCTTGGTTCCAAAAGTAACATGTTACTTTTTAAATTTTTCAATAAAACATCGCAATGACGATTATGGTAGAAATAGTGATGGTAAATAATGATTTAGTTTATTAAAAAAATCATCTTAACATTGGTAAACTAAAAGTAATATATTCTAAAAACAAAAACAAAACATGGGTCATAAGTAACTACTTAAAAGAAAAAACTGATAATAAAGTAGAATGGTTTAAATAAAATATACGCTTTGCATGGGAAGATGTTTAAAAAGCTAATTTTCATTTAAAAACGAATTAACATTTAAGAATATTTTTTTGACGTTTGCTTTTTACTACTACTTACTACGTCTAGTTCTTCGCTCATTTATGATAGCACCCGCTTTGGAAAATAATCTCTCGCATTGAACAGAAGTACTAATACACCTATGTTTTTTTCTTGAGGAAAGTTCTCCCAGTTTAAATACCTGAGCACCTCGATAGGTCAGGACTGTGACCCTAAAAGTGAAATCAGTTTCAAAATAGAACAGGCGAGGAATGTCTTCGCTAGTATGAAGAAGCTATTTACTAGATTAGAATTGAGCTTGGAGCTGAGGACACGCATGCTCCGTTACTATGTGTTCTCTGTTCTTCTATACGGCAGTGAGCGCTGGACTCTTGATCCCTTAACGGAGAAGAGATCAAGTCAATTCGTACGACGGCGCACGATTTGATCTCCAACCAATAGAAACACTTTCGTATCATCGTAACATCCTATAAACGGACGCATGGGACACAGGCTTAAAGCATATTTTTTCTTGACAAATGGTTACTGAAACTGCTGTAACTGGATAGATGGGTCGATGGTGCCGCATCGGTTTCGGTTTTATGAGACGATTCCAAAAACTTAATTCCAAAAATTCCAAAATTTTAACCAGTTAAATTGGTAAAGTGTAACTGCGGTTACAGCTTGCACGTCTGGAACACTGTTATTTTAGCGGTTACGTTAAATACCGACCATGCCTAGTTGTTTATTATTTGCAAACCGATTTTTCTTGGCGTACTTGAGAACTAAGAAGTTGTCGGAATTAACTGCTGTATCTTCAAGACATGATTGAGATGAGATTTATTTACGTTTGACCAGATAATTTTCTTGACCTTTAACTTTTGAATAAATCCTTTTACCCGAAAATGTTGTTCTAACTCAAAACTCTCCTGCTAGATCCAAACATTCTTATTTTTAAACTATACAAACTGACTTACAAGTTATAAAGAAATGTGCCAAAACTGAATCAAACATATTCATGTCAAGGCGCAAACAGATCAGCTTGAAACCCTGAAGAACCGATTTTAAGATTTTACGGAGAGATTAAGGAGATTTTTGTATTACGAATAGGTATATTGCTTGTTAATATACATTATCTGTTTTTATAGATCTGTAAAATCGATTTTCGTTGCATTAATATATTGCTGACAATGGAGCATTTATCGTTGATGTGCCAGAATAAGGCTGTTCACAATCTTACGGCTGGCATGGATGTAACTGCAGCCAGAACTAGTTTTAGCAAGAGGTCACACTCAAGAAGAAATGAAAAATCAAATCCGGCTGATCACCATAAACAAAATACGTCTGAGAATGGGCACGTATATATTCTTTATGTATTTATAACTGCATCAATTAAAAGAACATTTTTTACTGTCTGCGCCATTTTATATGGTAGATAATGTTTACTTGATAGCTAAATGCTGATGGTTCATTGACTGCTTTTAAAGCAATAACGTGAAGGCAAAATCTGCAATACCCATATATTTTTTAACAATTGTCATTTAGTTTTTACAGGGGGACTTTTTTAAAGTGTTACAAGGCTATATCCCAGAAACGGTTTCAAATATTTAAAAAAAATGTTGGGAACGTAAGAAATAAGTAGGAGGACGTATTTTAACATATGTTTTATTATTCTACTCAAGCGCACTCTATGAGATGCAAAGGCAACATTGAATCTTTAAATGGAATGATATATTTTTGATTGTGAAATTTAAATCAACATAATAAACTATGTACTGTTACAAATTTTTATGTTATTTGATCACTTAGTTCCAGAATTATGACGCAACATAAATTTAAAAAAATCAATTTATTAAATTATGACCCTACTAGATTCAAATTTCAGAATGAAAAATGTATTATTCCATTTAAAATTTAAAAGTTGCCTTTACCTCTCAAAGAGAGCGCTTGAGTAGAATAATAAAAAAATTTGTTAAAACATGGTCCCCTACCTATCTATAACTTTCCAACATTTCTATACATATATTGCAAACTGTTTCTGAGATATAGCCTTGTAACACTTAAAAAACTCACCTTGTATAATGGTATTTTAAAGTTTCTATTTTCTTCCAGATCTCCATGGTATCCGATTGTAGCTCCGCGAATAGAACACATTCCATTTAAATTTGACTCAATTGGTTTATTACACTTATGCCAACAAACTGAGCTGCTATTCTCAATGCTGAGAATAGAAAAGTCAAATCGCTGTACAAAGGCTTTGAATGTAAATAAAGCCAACACTTTACTGCTAGATAATATTTACGAACATTTCTCATTGCTTCATGACAGAGAGTTGGAACTTTCCAAAAAAGAATGCGATATCTTTACCAGGGACGTTGTGAAAAGACATAAAGATCATTTTCCACATTCTTGTCCAATTTCTTCTAAAAATTTAAAATCTGAATGTCGCTGGAGATGCTACATAAAAGGTGTGTCCATAACACATGTTATATTAACTTTTCTGCCTGCATCAATTGAGGATCTAAGAGCGTTGACTACAGGATTAGATTCCACAGTCACGGCAAATGATACAAATGATGAAGACGAAAAAACATCATCTGGAGGCAGTAATGTTAGCGATGTCCCAATAAATACGCCGTACGCTTTGTGTTTACCGGTGTATGTCTACGATAGTCCACTAAAATTGCTTGTTAATGCTTATGTGGAAAATGAAAATGGACATTCCAGCGCACCAGAAGATGTTTATTTGGATTATCGGTTTAAATTTGCCAACTTCGTGCAAACAGAAATGAAGGAAAAGTGAGTTCATGGACCTTCGGATATATTTTCTAATTTTTTAATACTCGACCAAGTCTACTTGGATCAATTTATTTGAAAAATGTTTTTGTATAATTTTCAGATTAAAAGGAAGTGACACCGAAAGTTGTTCGGAAGAAACAGATCCTCCAACAGTTTTTAAAAATGTTAGAGAGCATTGCACCGCTTTAGAATTAACACATACAAAATGCTACGTTCTATCACTATTTCTAGCTCTGCACATAGGCATCTACATACACAGTTTAGATGTTCAGAATGCTATGGACTTGTGTGAAGAAGAAATTGTTGAAGTGGATATTACTGATTATATTACGAAAATTTGTTCACATTCTCAGCAGGTTGACAATGATAAGATATATATTCAAAAGTTAAATGAAGCTCTTCCATGTAGCGAGCTGCACATGCTGATCAAAAAGAAATTTTTCAAGTTGGTGTGCTCTTCTTTTAATCAGATTTCCAGTAATGGAGAATACTACTACTTTAAAGATTTAAGTAGTCAACCAGAAGAAAAAGTAGATGCAGATGATGACATTAGTGTGTGTGCATCAGAAATCGAGTTTAGATCAGAACGAGATATGAGCATATTTTCAGAAGGACCACATTTACTAGCTAAGAATGTAAATACTGAAATCATTGATGTCGCTAAAGTAAGCGACGTGAGTCCTCTGTTCCTTCACTTCGTATGCACTTTAAGATATAACAATGGTGGGCATAGTAACACTTCTGTTCGTGTTTTACCAACTTGCTTAGGAGAGCTAATACAAACATTAGAGAAACCTACAGAATTTCTTTCAAAATCCAACTTACAGGTTACTCTTGATATTTTCTGTTTAACTTTGCCAACTCGGGTTCAAAATATTCTCTCCGAGTATTCTCAGCAAGGCCTTCGAACTACCTCACTTAGTTCAGAAGGAGGATTTCAGCGCACAATCAGTTCTACATCTGAGGCCAGTATGAACTCTGAGTAAGGATTTATTTTACTATTGTTTCGTTATTGTTTTAAACATTTTTTTTTGAGTCTTCATTTGCAAGTTTTGTTTCAGTGTTCCATTGCCTTTAAGAAATTTAACTGAACTTCAACGAAAATCTATAGATAAGCTTTGTGACGAGATAAAATGGCTTTTAGAAGATGAAATATGTGCTACCCTTCTTAATAGTTCAGAACCAATATCAAATGATACCATTGAGTATGTTGTACATCATGTGATAGATGGTCATGCCAGTAGGGCGTCATGTAAAATGGAAAAGATTGTCTTAAATTTCGTGTTCATAACTGAACCCAGTCACGAGAAATTCCTGGAAGAGTTTCAAGGATTAACTTTGCCCTTTGGTTACAAACTATACAAAGGAGAGCTCTTCTATTACGTTGCCAAACATCCAGTTTTGAAAGAATCTCAAACTTATGTCAACCTCCCTAATATTGGCGGACGTTCTAGTGGGAACAGTGAGTTTCCATTAGATATCCATGACATATTTAGAGGGACTCCATCGAATTTGGAAAACAGTTACAGGGAAGATACAATGTCTCAACAAAGTGACATTACAAGCGGTAGTGGTTCTGGAACCGACGGGGGTAAGTGGCTTTCTTTTATCAAGAAACTTGTTTTATAAGTTTTATGTCACTTTGATAGTTGTAACCGAAATTCTAAATGTTTGAATCCATATTTTTTCCGCCTCCTACGTTCAGCGAAAAATTGTGTCGTTCGACATTTTTTTTTTCAATAATACATTTTTTTTAATTTCGATACATAGCAAACTTTCGCTTCGATTCCGAGGAAAATGTCGTTCGGTATAGCCATGGAATTGAATAATTTGCAGATATATATAGGGTGTGTTTTTCGATGATTAGTACAGGGATCTTGGAAACTAAAGCCGATTCGAAAAAGTTAAATGGACAAAGAATTGCGGTTTTGAATGCAACTCGAAACTAATTTAGTTTTTTCAAAATTTGGGAGGTGTCAAGAGATATTTCAAGAAAACTAATTTATGACAGATTTTTAAATACCTTCTAGTTCAGTGAGTATTAATCTGACAGGAAAACATTAAATAGAAAGTTTAATTCCAAATAAAATTACATTGACATATGGAAACACTGCTGTCTGCCTTATACTATTTTCCCTGACTTCGATAAACTAAATTGAGACAGTAAAAATCATTCGCAGACACTTCGCAGAAAAATCTAGCGATGTGATTACGATCACTTAAATCGTAATAAAATATAAATATGGTTGACATTTAAAAAAAACTAAAGTTTGTGTCATATGTCAAAAATTACAGTTAATTTGTAGAAATGTCTCATGCCATTTTCTTTGGAATGCAATTTTCTACAACTCTTCTATTTAATATTTTCTTGTCAGATTAATATTGACGGAACTAGTAGTTATTTAAAAATCTCTCATAAATAAGTTTTTTCACATATCCCTTGACAGCTCTTAAATTTTAGAAAAACAAAATTGGTTCCTAGTAGAGCATCCAAAACTACAATTCTTTGTCAATTTAACCTTCGGTCTACCTGCTGTAGTTTTCAAGATCCCCGTACTAGTCATCGAAAAACTCACCCTGTATATGCAAACCATACGAATTAAAGTTGAAAATAAAATTTTTCCACTTTAAAGGTATTATTTCCGTCTCAGATCCAGTTGAGTAGCTCCCCTGATAATGGCCAGTTCGCGAATACTTTTCCTGCTCGTTAGATTGCTTTAACAAACATTATAAATAAAAAGTTATCAGTTTTCTACCAAATTGCTCTTCTAGGATATGACGATGATGTTGAAGATGAAGACGATTGTGAGTGGCTTGAACATTTAGGGAACAAAAGGCCCCATTTACCTAATTTTTGGCTGATTTTAAAAGTCGATCAAGATCTAGTCTATGTGTATTTTCACTGCAGGTACAATCTGTAACTAACGCGATCGAATGTGGATAATAATCAAGTTTCGTTTCCTAGGTTTGTTGAATTGAACATAACGCAAGTGGATGCGTATTGTGAGGTTCAGAGAGCAGTATGTGATGCTGTTGCTGATCTATGTAAGAGAGTTAATCAGCTCCTGCTGCTCCAGTCGCTTTATAAATCTAAAACATGTGAGCCGCTATTAGAACCTGATGACTTTTCACATACGGATATACAAAATGCGAAGATCTCCTACGGTAAATTAAAGAGATATGACAGTAAGTTTTTCAATTATTTGAGTTGAGGAATTGATCCCAGTTAAACCAAAACTTGAAAATTCGAGTAAAGATATATATTGGGCGCCCCAACATGGAAATCAGACGTATATTTAGTGGAGGCAATAAAATTAAACAAAACAGCGATCACACTAAAAAATAATAAAGGAAGACAGCTAAATTAAAAAAGCACAATAAAATCAAATTAATTATAATCAGAGTCAAGTTGAGACTACTTTTAACTTTGCATAATCTTCTTGCAGAGGCTTTGAAGTAAAATACGGTTTGTTCATATATTTGCTTTTAATTAAAGTGTGCCCATACCTCTTTTGGCCTAAAATAATTATCATAGTCAAAATGGTAAATTTCGGTTTCCCGAGTTACGCAAATCTCTAATTCACTATCTTGTAGCAAAGCTGTCAGAAGGTTTAATTTTGAAACCGATTAACCCAGGTGGTACATGTTTTTAGCATATTTTAGTTTAGAAAATGTGTTCTTGCACAAATAAGTCATTTCAAAGGCGATTAAATAGTGACGAGCAAATTAATGCAATTCATTAAAATGTCTGATTTGAAGACTTACGAAATTCCAGCAATGATGAGTTTCGACATTGTACTTTACCAATATTGTAAATCAATAATTTTCATTTGAAGTTCTGGAGTCAGGGTTTCAATATCGACGATAAAGGAAATTTGGAAGCTCTTGAGTCAATATCAGAAAACCGAGACTCAGCAATTGTTTTTAAAACGCTCAAAGCTACAATTGTGAATTCAGCGGAAAATGGAGTCTGAGTTGCATGATTGAGCTTCAAGCAATTTCCACCACACCACATTAAGGCTTTGTGAGCTACGGAGCACGTAACTTGATTTTGACAATATTTTTCAGATTAGTCTCTCGTTGGACTTTTCCGAAAATTTTAGCTGTCGAAGCTTGATATGTTTAGTAAAGTCTACTTGAATGGCAGATCCATTTTCAAGCAGTGTCATGATTTGTGCTTACTTTCATTTGCTCGCAATATTAAAGCGATATAAAACTTAACCAGATTTTGGCACGCACTTATATATGAGTCTCTTGCTAAGAAAAAAACTGAACTTTTCTAGTTTGTACTTGAAACATTTTCAGTAGAATTCAAAAATTTGTACTACACCGGATGTTACACCTAAAATTATGAACTTTCTTACTTTGCCAACTTCCAGTATAAAAGCAAGTTATATTAAGTATGGATCTCAAAAATGATTGAGATTGCATGCCTGCAGTGATTTTTATATCGGCCAATTTTAATTTTTTTTTGGAATTGTAGTTTGCCATCTATCCCTAGATGCGGTTCCCGTTGGGACACCCTGTATATATGCTTTACTTCTCAAAAGTGTTTTGGTATGTTAAATTGATGAACCAGCTGATGGAGCAACCAATGTCCCTTAGGCTAAAAAGTCTGGAGGCGTTGGCTTAAATCATAAAAGAAATTTCCATATCGATTTATCCAACAAACGGTTGGAAATTACCTATTGAAGTTTTACAATTTTTGTAGTTCGATTTTTAACAACTTTACGGCTTATTTTTAGATGATATGAATGATGATTCAGAGGGAATGTTATATTCTCGATCGATGTCTGAAGCTTCCTTGCACTTAAAACCTGGATACTTTAGCTGTCCAATAGTATGGGAAAAACTCTTTGTATTACATCCGCGTTTAAAAACGGGGCCTGGAAAATCTGGGATATCTAGAGGCATTGTTGCTTTAAAAAATATTTTGGAGAAATTTTGTGTGGTAAACAGATCGAACATGTTTGTCTATAAAGACAATGAAGAAAATGTCTTTTACCTGAGACTTTATGAAAGCGGCAACATTACGGGTGTTAGATTATCCATAAAACCTAGTGACGAACGGACAATGTTTTCCAGAAGTCCATCAATTGCATCTTTACCTATAGGTCAAAATAATAAACCAAACTTGGCAATATCAGATCAGAGTATTGCGTCTATTGTTTCGGTAAGGTTGGAAAAACAATTTTCAGTTTGGAACTGATGAATTGTTTTCGCATTTTAGTCGGATAATTTACGTCCAAGAGTTCGATCGTTTGGTGAAAAAGAGAGCCGAATATTTGAGTCACGGGATTCTCGTGAGACAATTAGTGAAGATACTCTGATTTTGAGGGTTCATGGTATTACTGAAGTGGGAGACGATATACAGTGTGGTTTGGTTCAAGTTTTGCAAAATAGGCTTGATGATGCAGTTTTAGACTTTCTTTCGGGTACACTAGCTAGAAATGCCATGTGCCCTTTGACGCCTGAAGATGTGAGATTTATTCAAAAACCTCAAGATCCTGATGTTTGTATTTGCGTAAGTTGCGACTTTTTAATTGTGTTTGCTCCATGAAATTCAGGCCCTTGTTTTATTTCAGTGCACGGTTCAAGAATTTTCATTGCAATGGCAAAAATCGAGATCATTTATCCATTATTTAAGGCAAAATTTATTGCAATTTTTAAACCTTCCTAAATACACAGATAGCCGTCCAGAATGTCATTTCCAAGATTTTACTACTGATCGGGATTCGGTGATTCTCACTCTTGACAATATATTTATTTATAATCAGAGCCAAACTCCAACATCTGGCAGTAGGGGAATTGCCTGTATTGTTTTAGCGTTAATTGATAAATGTCATCCCATTTCAACTTCCGAAAGGGAAAATAACTTTGAAACCGTTTTTATAACCAAGAATTATGAGGATTGTGTAAATAGCATAGTTATTGAAGAGAAAGAGATCTGGCCCGACTCTTATTTGGAGTTTAGAATATGGAAGCAAGGGAGAATCAACATAGACAATTTGTCCAAGAAGCTTACCGCTGCCATTAGTCAGGCAACTTGGGACATTGTAACAGAATATTATCTTCTGAAAAACCCTCTTTGCGTAGAAGAATACAGAGAGCAAGCTTTTATCACTAAGAAAAAGATTGAAATAGATGCGTTAAATTTAGATCTGGATAAAGAAGTTGAGTATAATTGCGAACTAGACTTGACTTTTGATAAAACAATCAGACCAAATGTTAAATCGGATCTTCCGAAGAAACTAGATGCACAGTTATTTCCTACGCGAAAGTACAGCAGAAGATCTAGTATACATCCGTCGAATTTAAAAGCTTCAAGAGTAATTTCTTACGACGTTGAAAAAGAAATTAGCATAGAATCAAATGAGAATGGTGTTTTATCAATAGTTTATTCCAAATTTTTGCCATCATGGATGGAATTTGGTGACAGTCTAAAGGCTCCCGCAGTGAAAAAACAAGTCATCAAGTTGGGCAATCGCCATCTCCCAAATTTAATTGTCAAAGAACTCATTACAATGTTAAGTGACGCTCCAAAAGCCTTCCGAGCGTGGAGCACACATTCCCTGAATTCAACTGCAGAAGAAGTATTTGTGCCGTTTGTCCATTCAAATATTGTACAAAAATACGTAATTATATCTAGGGGATTTAGAAAATGGCAACATTTTGAGGATTCTACTAGCGATATATCAGATGAGGTCAATCCACAACATTTGAAACATACCCAAAAATTTGTCCCTCTTATAATCGAAAATACTTTAATTCCCAGACGGAAAGTTTTCTGGATATCCGTCGAAAATGACAACGTAAGTCGATTTACCTGTTTGGTTTTAATTGCCGATTTAACAATTAGTTCTCTTCTTAGATTGTTATTTACACGTACAACTGGGCCAAGGAACATATGGACAAATTAATACAAAATTGCATGAACTTAAGCCAGTGGCTTACGCTACGATCATGCTTTATGAATTCTGCAGTTGCTCAGAAATTGGGTTTGTTTTACAACCAACCATTAACAAGGAAATGTTTTGTACGTACCTGCATATACATATAATAAATTTATATATGATAATATACAAATGCACTGTTTGTAGTTGGAAGTTTTGAGCAAAAGTTTGTTGTTTCCTCAAATATTTATTTAACAAACATAAACTCGGACTTTCAGGAGCCAATAATTTTCTTGCATGATGGTGTTGATGTAATTTTATTTTTAGATGCTCTCAAACAATAACTACTACTCTTTAATTGGTAATTTAGATGCAATGTCGAAATTTCCCAGAGACCATTCGCACAAAAAGTCTCATCAATCTAGTTTCAATCTGCCCACAGTCTTAGAAACATTTCGAGATAATTTTTGCAATACCAAATATACTTCCAATGATGCTGTGACTATTTTTACAATCGAAATGCGGGAAATGAAGTCCTTAGAGAAGAAAAATAGAGGTTGGTGCGCTCATTTGCTCAAGGAAGCAAGGTGTCATTATCATAATGTTTTAGATGAAATGAAGAAGTTGCACTCAATGTATCAATCAAGAACCGGAAGTACCTCGGTGCCGCAATTAAATTTATTAATGCAAAATTCTCGGATATTGCATTATGTACACACTCCGTTATTGTTTTTACCTAGATGGCGATTAAAATCTGCCGCCACTCGAGATCATTCCTTATATCCATCGCAAGCAATACAAATTGCGGACAAATTTTCAGATAAGGAAAGAGAATTGTGGCACTTTGAACTTTGCTATTCCCTTTTCAATGAATATAGGACTTATTTATACACTTTAGGATTCACTCCTTTGCAAATCGATAATCCACAGCAAGGAAACCAAGGGTTTGTTATATGAATTAATTGTTTTTTCTGTGATAGTTTGGCACTAAATGAGGACATTTAAGATTCAATTTTAGATTTTGCTTTAAGGTTTTCAGTTGTTATATTACATTAACTGATATTTTAGTAGTTTGTGGGTCAAAGATAAGTCATCATATAATTCAGTGTTCTACATTCAACGAACAATCTTGGGCGGAATTCTGATTTTTACCGTATCATTTGAGGAACCTTTCTTTGTAACAACATTGCACGCTATTGAGTGCAGTCGTCTTCAAAATATCACTTCTCGAGCTTCAGTAAATGGGGTAAATTAATTTTCAACACACTTTTTAAATAATATACGCGTTGCTTTTGTAGTTTACATTAAGTTTTTTGGATAAGTGCGATAAGGTGAAAATTTTGATGCACCTTCATTCGTTTACCTATGACTATCATCTGCGGTCGATTTACAATTACATTTTTGGGAATTTCGGAAAGTTGCCAGAAAAGTACAATGTTCATCAGTTCTTGGACGATTTTATGAAGTACTACAATAAGGCACCGAATTTTGCTCGGAATTTGGTACACTCAGGTAATAGCAATTAATAATCTATTTAGCATCTGAAACTGCTAGACACCACCCGTTTTTAGATACCATAACCATCGAAGGCCTAGTAACAGAAGGAAAACAGTTATTTGACTATTTATTGTCTAACGTTCGGCAATATGGATTTTCAGTCCTTGAAATGGATCACACCAGTCCAGAATTTATCTTGGTGCAAGTAACAACTGCCAGACAAGTGTCTTATAAAGATTCTCAGGATAGACAACACACAAATGACTTCGATATGACATTGGTGGTGTACAATTTGTGCACTCCTTATAAGCCTACCGATAGAGTGATGCATTTAAAGTATTATTTAATCCTAACATCTAAAAGGTAAACGTTTTTAAATTGATAAATTTGATTATCAACGGTAAAGGGTTTACGATTTTCACATATATTTTTTAAACCATCAAACGTGTCTTATTTGGCTTCTTTTGTTACTCTAGGGATATCTTTCCGATGTTCGAAAACGAACAGAAGTTGGGAAAGTTTCGAACTGTATCGTCAACTGGCGGGCCATCCACGTCAGACAAATCAGCAACCGATTTAGAATTGAGTCTGCCGAAATCCGAATCAAATGGTGAAGCTGAGAGAGCTGAACGGTTGGCTGACAATGATGATAAATCGTTAAGTAGGTCTTCCGAGGACAAACCACTTAGCAAACTTTTAGCCACTGTAACAATTATGCAAGAAAGCGTTAATTATTTAGGATACTATTCGCCGCATGAACAGATAATGCAGCAACTGATTTTGGACAAGGCCCGATCCACCCAGAAAGACATCAGAAATATGGTTTCAAAAGGTTTGTAAAGTTTCCGACTCTCCGTCAGAGACAAATGGTACTTTTTATTTACAACTTCGGGACGTATATATAGGTATGGTGGACTGTAGAACGAACCTGTTATGGAATAGGATGATAGCACCACAAGATTCCACTCCTTTATCTTTTGACGAGTTCATAGAGCTGAAATTACTAGCTAAGTTGACGCCCTTGTCGCAGTTAAGTCCGAATCTGGGGCCATTATTAAATCAGCCTCTTGGATGGTACCAAGGTTTTGCCAAGTTATTACCAGTGAAATATGTGGATCAGCATAGGATATTTACTTCCGCCGATGGACATTTATTGTACTATGTAATTTTGCATCCTAGATACTACGGTGCATTTATGTTGATGAGCATCGATCTTCAGACAGCTCGAGGGGTAAGATTCTAAGCAAATTATAAGATTAACAATATTCTTTAAAATAATGACCATTTAGGAGTTGTGTGCTGTCTATCGCGAACCTAACAAGAGAGAGGACGCTGATCCTTTGGGAATAGGCTATGAGAAATCCCTCCGTGACGGTTTTGTAAAATGCGTTTGTTTCTATCTTTGGTCTGGAATGATCTGTGGCTAAACAGTTGAGGCTAAACAGGTGATATGAATGTTTTTTTTCGGGTGAATGATTTCGTATGACCAGACATTATTTTTTTGTATGTTTCAATTTCATAAAAAAACTACTTGCTGAAATTATGCAGCTCAGTAAAAATACCTCATTTATTTTATAGAATTATAGAAAAGTTATGAATTATTTTTATAAGTTGTTTTTTTAACTTGATACATTTTTTCATGTTGACTATATAGTTGGATATAATATATCTGTTTATTGTAAATATACGAGCTCAGTATACTGTGATAAATGTACAAATGTGCCTATCCAACATTGACGCTTTAGTATGCTGTAATTAGTAAACTTGTATCAAATATAATTTTTCTACGTGCCATGCAAAACAATAAAGGATTCCGTTTTAAAATGTGTTTTTTATATTAAATTAAATAGAATAAAATTCCACAATTCCTAATTATTACGTTTGTGATAACTAAAACGGAGTGAATTAATTGCCACAACTAACTCCTATTCAACTACTGAGAGTTGAAAAGTTGGTAGTTTTGAAAAAAGTCTTCACCCTTAAAAAGAGCAATCAATTCGTACTTTACCCGGGTTTGCTTTCTTATTGATACAAAATCTGTTGCGTATTCGTTGCCACTATTAATAAAAGAAAGTATAAAATATAAACTTGTTAATCTGTGGGTACTGGAAGAAAAACACCATTTTTTTATAACGTGTATTAGAATAATCATTGGGATCTACAGCTTTTGAGAGTCACTGAAATATCTGGAAAGGATGGATGTGGGGGCCGAAATAATATTATTACTTTCCTTACAATAAACATTTAACATTCAGAACACAAATTATTATTTATGACACCAATTTAAGTCAATGCTCTCCCAGACAATGGCGCTGCCGATTATTTTACCTGACCTCATTACTCGTTTGCCTTAGTAAATAGAAAACATTTGACAAAACACTGATAGAATCTAGAAGCTACATGGAATGCTTTTGTGGCTGTTAGATTTAGATACATTACTGGGTAGAAAAATCTAAATATCCTTCCTACAAACACTATAAATGTATCATTGCTAAAGGTATTAAAATGTTTGCTAAAAATAATTAGCAAACAAATTCAACAATGCCAATTATGTACTTATATTCCAATTCGCACAATTTAACTCATTTTTGTTATAGTGTTTGTTGAAAATATAGTGTATTACATACGTATTAAACAATATTTCCTTTTGTACGTAGGCTTTCTTCACTCACTTTTTTGATATTTGTTTTCTGCCAATTAAAATTTATTTAATTATTTCTAATAAATACGCGCTTGCAAGGTGTCTCGAAATCCATGATTACGCTCTTACTAAGTTTTGAGGGATGTTTTGAAACTTTTTTGAACTGAAACCTTTTTTTAAATTTCTGGTCTGCGATTTTCCCGGATTGTCTTTGGAATGAGCCGATGCAAAGCATTAATGTTTTTTGGCATACCTTGCCCGAACCCGAACCACGAACAGAGACCAGTTTTGTAACATTAAAATAGCTATTCTAGTACATGAATGCGAATTTTCTCCTTTTAATGCTTTTTCGGTTTAGTAATTATTAACGCTAGTTTTGCCGGAAATTTGATCTAAATTGTAAATTTTTTATGTGAAAAAGTCAGAAACATCTAAAGCCCACATTTTTGAGAGTAACATGATATGTTTTTTATTTATTTATAAAATGTTTTGGGTTAAAATGCAACACTTATTTTGCTTGGAGTGTATACCTAACTAGTTTAGATTATTCAAGGTACATCCGTTTGATTTTAATGAAATTTTATTTTGCTACTTTGCTGAATTTTATCTTAAGTATCAAACATTCATTTATAGTAGGTATAGAGAAAAGCAACAAAAAACCATCGATAATGTACCATGCGTACTTCCTAGTTATAGAATTCTAAACATTCAGTGTTCTAAGATACGCGCTACATAACATTTACAGGAACATCACAGGAATTTAACGAGAAAGTAGTAGATCGATCCGTTTCCAGATCGATTTGGAAAAAAAGACTCAAACAGTTTGATTTGTAAAGGGACGCCTAGGCCGTTCATCCTACAATATACAGGGTGTATCATAAGCACGATACAGCGTCGCACATAATATAATATTCCTCATTACATTTTTTAAATCTAATATGCGACCACATCCTAAAAAAGCAGCCATTTGGCAGTGCTTTGGGTATTGAAAAGTGCTATTGGATTTTTATTTCGCTACTTTCTTGATTATAGACTTCGTAACAATGAGAGTCGGGTCACTCATTAAAAAAATATTGAATCTCATATTGATTATTGAAAATAATAATAAAAAAATTAAATTGAAAATGATACTGTATGTTTCCATGATTCAAAATGTTTGAGAGTTTTATTCTAAATCAACCGAAATAATCATAAATAGAGGCATGACTTTCCGTTAACCACCCCGTTTCAGTAATTTTTTTAGGAAGCAATATCATCTTTCAGTAAAACCGGGTGATTTGGAAGATTTCAGTAGTACTTTTTTTCATTTAAATTCGATCATAATTTTAAACAGAATGCCAAACTAATTTTGGTATTTCTACTGATAAAGTGCACATTTTTAAATTACCAAACTTGAGGATACTTTTCACGGACGCAAGAGATTCATATATACATCTAGGTCTTTCGACACCTTGGACACCTTTGGATATTTTCATTATAAAAAGTCATTTATTGTCTATTTATCAATTAAAATACGTTTCGGTGTTTTCCACCATTATCAGTTTCTATGTGTAGCGTAAATATATGCCAAGGCTTAAAGTAGCAACAACGCTACACATAGAAACTGATGATGGTGGAAAACACCGAAACGTATTTTAATTGATAAATAGACAATAAATGACTGAAGCCCAGGAATTGATTTTGATTTGGAATTGAAACACAGTCAGGAAAGTATGTACAATGAATTATAAAAAGTGCCTTAAAAGAACCGTAAACATTGTTCACAATTTCACATACTCCATAAATGTAATTTCTGCTGTTGAGAAAACAACCCAAGAAAGGTACACAAGCGAGTAAATGGAATGTCAATAGTACAACCCACTTTAATTATATAAGGTATCTACAAATATTTTTATGCAAAAGAAGTTGATTATCTAAATTCGTTTTCTATAGTCTAATTGCTGCTCGTTTTCAATTTCGGATAGTTGGCACTTCGTTATTTATTTAATTGTGATTTTGACCAGATTACTACTTGCCAATAATATTTATTTAAAAACAATTTCCAAATGCCAAAAAACTTAATCAATTAGAAATTAGGTCTCTGCACTTAGTTGATCTCAATTTCTTTCTTATTATTTCATCTATTTTTTTTGCTTGTTTGTACGTTAAATTGTTCCACTAAATGGCAATTAGAGGCAAATGTGATTTTAGACCAATTTTTTGCAAGTTTGCCATGTCCAGCGTGTAAAGCAGGAAGGCTTAAAATAACAGAACTTCTATTGATTTATGTCGAGTATAAATGAGTAGCAGGGTGAAGGCGCTTTAATTAAAATCGAGGATGTATCGGCAGAAGTGCTTAAGCTCGGAAGTGTATATTGAAGCAAATAGTCAATAAATATCAACCCGCTCAATCTCAGTCAACATTAAATAAAAAAAAAAACTGTGGCTGCTGCTGTTATGAACATTTAACATTTTTATAGCCCTTAAAATTTCTTTTCAAAAAATCGAAAATAGCCAGATTCTTGGCAAATGATTATTATGGAAAAATTACTCAACTACTTTTATTTTCTTAATAGGCTAATTTTATCATTTTATTTTTAAAGGCTTATTCACATCTAGACAATCATATTGACTAATTTAAAATAAAATTGATAATATAACAAGTGATCAAGAACAGTTTGATTGTATAGCAAGAAGTAGTTTCCACTGATGGAATTTATGAACAATCTTATCATTTTTCGGCTATAATTAATCCCGTTTCCAATAGGCGCACGTTCTATTGTAACAACTGAAATTCGGGTTTGGCTAATTATTTACAATATTTAAGAGCTCAAAACATATGTTTTATGTTAAAAACTTCAAGTTTAAGTAACTGTTGATTTGAGTTGTATCAAACCAAACCAAAATGTTTCTATCAAACAGAAGTGGGCAATAAATTTCCGCCTGTCGCCTTTACTTCCAATATTCCTGGAACATTTCAAACTACTCGTAATAACACTTTATATTTTAATAAACCAAATGTTTACGGTTGCACATAGAAAGGAATGTTGGAATGTACAATTAAAATTGGAATGAATGCTGATGTAAATAAAGCACTAATATGCTCTATTTACTAACTATTATGCATCTGCCTGTTCGTTAATGACCAACTAATTCACAAACGATTCAATATTAAATAGAGTTACCATTATTAAACAATCGGATTTCAAGTTATTACTATTCGAAAATAACTGAACAAAATAGAATGTTTGCTACTTAAAAACAATTACCTAGGTATTTTCCTATGTATTGACCATAAAGTATTTATATACAAGTCTTCCTCATAGCGTTGGAAAATATCTGTTTCAGAGTACGTACTTATCTAATTACATGGTTTACACAATTCTAAGAGGGTTAATTCCAATTTGCATGCTATTCCGAAATTTAATACTTATGTATATATTTTGGCAGTTTACAGAAATAATTTAAAATACTATTTGGTTTGAAGTTCAATTTAAAAAACATTATTAAAAACAAAATATCACATAATTGTACAATCCTTAAAGTTAAAGTAAAATGGTTCCACCTTAGTAGCATATTATAATACACTTAACTCTAGTCACATAGCTCAATAAATAAAATGGAAATATTAAAGTACCTACCTACAACCATTATGTATCTGTTGAATGCCCAGTGCTGTGGTTCAACATAAAAAATAGGTTGAACACAGATCACGATAAAGCCTAGTGGATATTTACCGTTATCTAAACATATATACTGTTGACTGTAGTTTCTGAGCCCTTTGAAAATACACTCAACTATACTGGCTTGTAATAATTTATTATTACGATTTTTTCCAGACGATTTATCAAATTCCGGTTGATAGGTCAATGTTCAAGGCGGAAATATTAATAGTATTGTGGGCATTTTCTTAGTTAAAATGCTTGCATTCGTCTGAGATAGACCTTAAAAATAGTAATAAATACTGATAGATTGATTCCTGACAAATAAATTGCCACGGAATGCGGATGTATGTACCTATGTATTATTATCAATCAAAGTAGAAGTCTTTGATTTTCCGCAAACATTTTCTTCTAAACATCTATATCAACACAACATTAACTATATGCGAGACGTTTGTACTTGTATCTGTATATGGCCCTTTTTAAACTGATACCTTTATGATTTATTCAAAATCGTTCAAATTAAGAGATTTCACATTTCCTAGTAACTATTAGGAAATAAATCATACGACAATTTAATAAGGGGATACAGTTGAATTCACTTGACATTAAACATTTAGGATGGGTTATAAATATTTACATATTAATTTCTGTTTGTAGTAATATTTTTAAAAACCTTGCATATTTTAATGTAATACTGTACAATTAATTCTATTTTCTTTAGTGAAAGCATATCTGATAAGTATTTCCAATTGTTAGTTGATTTTGGTAGAAATGATAGAAATATTCGGTTACTCAATAATATCTTTTAGTTGCTTCTGTATGTACATGTAACCATTATCGTCGTTATTTTATGTATGAGTGTATCTTGTTTCTAAAGTGCAATCCCTAAATTTGCATCAATTAATGGCAGTTTTGCATTAACGTTAACTTATATTATAGATGCCTTTATTGCATGTTTATCCTACGGCATATTTAATGTGATATTTTCATGCTTTCCTAGATTATTTAAAAGCTCCATTTCACGTAACAGGTGGATGAAAAACTGTTTTCTGTCCTGGGTATAAACTCGCAATTCTTTTAAATATTCATAAGGTTTCTCAATTTTCTATTAATCAATCAAGAAAACGACATCGTGATCACAATAAAATTACTGATAATACCATGTTGAGCATTAAAGTTTATTTATTAAAGAATATTTAATCCGTGTTATTAAAAAACTGCCATTGAGAAAACTTGTGACTTCTACATACCTCTGTACATCATTATGTAGTTTGCATTCATGAACAAGCAGTAGGTACATATGGATCAGTTGTTTTATTAATTTTGTTTTAGTGATTGCGGATTTACGACGAATCTCTAGAAGGGTCGTCGTCTGCAATCACGATCGTTATTCTCTTCTTTGGCTTATGCTCTGATCCATTTTCTACGAAGAAAAAACAGCTCATAAATAAACAACGGTTTTCCACAGTTTTTTCTTTGCAATATACTTTTTTCGGATATATATTTGTACTTCAAGGGTCGTTTGTGTGTGATCTCGGTAGCGCTTTAGTTCTAGTTTTATTACTTTGCAGGTAAAAAAATAGTTCACATGTGCGTTTGCAGTTTTTCTGATCTACTTATAAAATATTGAAGCACGCAACCTCTCCTTTTGAATGAGATTGTTGATAAGTTGCAGTTGTTGCAATTTTTACGTTAGGAAATGACATTTTCAATAACTATTGTAGCTGTGTATTATGTAAGTTTTATTGCATTTTTATTTAACGAGCTAAATATTTTCAGTAGGGCATATATACGCAGGCAGGTATACGAGGGCCGTTCGATAAGTACTTAGCCTCGCCGCCCAATGTCGCGACTATCCCAAGAGAAATTTACTATCGTGCAGTACATTCTCGTAGACGGCTACTGTCAAAATTTCAGCCGAATCGGAATCGTAGTTTTGTTTTGACCACGTGTGGAAGCGGGCGTCTGCGGATTTCAGAAAAATCTTAAAACACTGCGTGAGTCATTTCCTGCATGAAATTCTGGGCATAAGTCTGTGCGATAGGCCTATGTAGCTCAGTTAATTTTAACGAACTAGCGCACTGCTGCGCAAATGGCTTGGTGCGCCACCTGAACGCACCGGCGCAGTAATTCAGTTCCGCTGCTGTTAAAACGTTACTTCAATTACGAGTTAAAAATTTGCTGACATTTTTTCATTGACATTTTTCAGTCTCGGGTCTCGTAAAGCTATAATCCACTTAAATAAATGAGTTATAACTCGTCGGTTGATGAGTTATTGTCAACTTAGAGAGCGGCAACAACTCGAAAGCACAACTCAACACAGTGTTACAGGCTTACTGTCTACTGTGCGATGAGTGCTGCGCAGTGCTGCGTTTGCTCACTCCGCACAACAAGCGAAACCGTGACACCACTTCAAAGCAGTGTTGGACGCTGTTTAAGCGCAATCTAAAGGAGTTTCTGCGTCGTTTCGTGACTGTCAATCTATCCATTAGTACACACCAAACCAAGAAACAGTCGAAACAGTGGACTTTTCTCGACGAACGTGCTCCGAAGAAGGCGATGACGATCCTATAGGTCGAAAAGGTCTGATCTACATCGACGACATGGAGAAGGGCAAAACGATCACAGGGCTTTACTATGCTGAATTATTGGGCCAATTCGACGTCGAATTGCAGACAAAACTGCCCCATTTGGCGAATAAAAAGTGCTCTTCCACCATGATAACGCACCGGCGGAGGTGTGAGACACACCTCCGCCGTATCAAGGGTCAATTGGGCTACGGACTGCTGCCCCATCCACCGTATTCTCCCGATTTGGCCCCGAGCTACAACCAAGGGCGGATCCAGGGGGGGGGTCACGGGGGTCATGCCCCTTCAATTCAATTCTCTATCTAACGATGTCAAGACGAATTCTGTGGTTCGAATGGTTCTTGAGAAACTTCGAAAAAAGCAGCGTTATGTTCAAGTGGATTTTGCAACTCAAAAAAAACCACGCAAATGTAAAACTTCTTGAATTCAAGCATTTTTTGAGAAAACTGCCAACATTTCCTTATCGATGGTT